CCGCCTCTTGGTGTTGTTAGGATGGACTCATTGTCAAAGCTTGGAGTCGGCAAAAGCTTTGCTATGGAGTCTACACAAAACTCAGGTAAATCAGCAGAAAGCAAGTGGCAGTGTCCCAGTCTGAGTCCAGATAATGCAGTTCGTTTGTGAAAACAAGTGAAACCGGAGAGTTTTCAGTGAGAAGGTCAATCTTCCTCAAAATGGAATAAAAACAAGTTAAGGTATTACAGTCGTACGTAGGTAACATTATGGAACACTTGCCTTGCTTCCTAGTCCTTGGCTGCGAAGGGAGTATGACTGCGAAGGAAACTCTGAAAGTTTCTCTTGCATAAACTCATGAACAACCTCTGCTGTTAACATCAGAGAAAAGACAGCAATGGTTGTTGATTAGTTTTGAAAGAGCTGGGGCATCTTTCTTTCATGTAATTTCCTCCAGTGAGTCATCCCTGGGTAGTGGCTAATTCAGGCCTGAGTTCAACAACCATGTAGCTTGAAAATTCCCCATACTTGTTCTCAAAGTGAAATGATAAATGACAAGAGCTGTGAGCGAAAGATCCACCTTGTTTGGGGACAGTCTTCATCTGTGGAAAAGTGACAGGATTCCAGCTCTGAAGGTGTAGTTGCACTTCAGATGATGCCTGTTGGCTGGCTTAGATGTCAGAGGTGGAGAGACGAACCTTTTACTGCTGGGTCGTAGTGTAGACCTAAACTGGCAATGCCTTAAGGGAGTTACTATCTGTTGGTAATACACCAAAAGTCTATTCAGTAACTTCTGCAAAGTTAAACTCTTAGATCTGATTTTAGCAGGGAGTCATCTGTAGTAGAAGAGCATGTGGGACAGGAGAATAACCATCTGCTACCCAGTATGTCATCTTTTGAATACGTGATTAGTTCTAGAGATTAGCCTTAGACTGTTACTAGGAAGCATTAATTTGCATTTTATAAGCTACTCTTGAAAGGGGATTTAGCCAACTTTCCATGGTCTGTAGATGTGTCAGGTGGAGGCTGACTGATTTTTATGTTCTGTTAGAATAGCCCTCCTTTGCTGTCTTTGTAATAAATCTGACAATTTTCTGTATTTGAAATTTATTATCCAGATAGGGAAGTCTTGCAAACATGCATGTGTGACACAGGCTTGGTTCTGCTGGCTGGCTGGAGACTTTGTTGTAATGAGATTGTTTTATTTATCTTTCCATTTAGGATCTGTGCAATGATTCAGTATTGAAAGATTTTTGTGATGGGCTGTGGGCTCATGTGGAAGTACTTGAATGGTGCATGCAGCAAAACAGGTAAAATGAGCAGAAGGACTTTTTTTCCAAAATATGTTGCCAAATCTACCTGTTAAGTCAGCTTATGTATGCAAATAGAGAAGGCATTTTCTTGGCTAATCATCTAATAGTGACTCTATATACAAGCTCTTGAAGTTCCTCAGAGGCTACAGTTATGCTCTTTGTTTGGTAGTAGTTTGGTTCAGTCAGAATTCGAGTGGGTGTTAGATCTTTAAACATGGCTGAGGTTTAAATCTGTGCCACCTCTTTGTTCTCTCTTGCAGTATTACTGTCCCAAGGAAGGTTCTGTTGCAACACTTGCACAGTCTGGATTGCCACACTGCAGTGTATTCTCTGCATCATCTCACCAATCTTCTGGCACTGAATGAAGATGATGTTATTGAGCTTCTTCAAAAAGTTCCTTCTAGAGACCAGCAGATGCAGGGTAAATGTGTAGGCTTGTGAGAACACAGAAAACTGACAATCTGTTGAGTATATATGTTCAGTACTTCTGCCAGGATTTGTTCTCTTGACCTGCTTCTGTAATTGTGTAAGATACCAGTTACCAGCTGTTTTGTGGAAGAAATCTAGGGAGCATGTGGAAATAATTTACTCCCCAAAGGGTTTCTAAAATAGTCTTTCAAGAAGGAGTTGTGAGATCTCTTTGATCTCACAAGGACAGATCTCTGAAAGAGCTTTTTTAAGATGGTAACAAGACTTTGCACATGCTTGTGATATACGCTGCTCATTGTAACTTCTGTACTATGTAGTAACTTTCATTTGAGAAGGAAGTGTATGGTTTGTAATTCAGTGCACTTTAGTTGAAAATCAAAGAGCAAAACCAGATGAAACTGACAGTATCTTGCACTACAGCATCTTCATTTTTGAAAGAGATAAAAAGTGGAGTTTTTTTCTATTGTAATATTAACTGTTACCAAATTTAAATTTAGTATTTAAATCAGTAAGACTCAGCTACAGCCTGTGTTTACATCACTCCTGCCTCACTTCTCTCATCTTCACATGTTCCAGCTGGGTGCCTAAAATACCTGCAACTACTAAGCATATCAGATCACTTAAAAGTGACTCTTTGGACACTCTTTTGATTGCAGCCTGTGTCCAGGTTCAGCTCTGCAATTTTAAAGCTGTTTTCTGATAGGGCCTCTTAATAATGACGCAGAAGCTCTGTTTTCCTGCGTGTACTAGAACCTAAAAAGCCACAATATTTTTTTTTCTAAG